GAAGCAGAAGTTTACATTTTAACAATTTAATGACTTGTTTAACAAATTGTTCATCAATTAAACATTTAAGTAACCATTTATTTATCTCATGGTACATTTAATTAACCACTTAGTGGTGTATTTATTTAATTTTGTCCCTTTTTGCCCTCCATACAAATTAGGCTGATTAGCATCCTAAAGACTTAATAGCAATGTGTTAAAAAGGGAGAAAGAATTTTTTTTGAAGAAGCATTCTTTTAAAGGATGAAAAACTAAGAAGCCCGGTAAGCTGAAAGCAGTTTGAAAATGGCGTTAAAGATGATGTGAAAGCAGTTTTCCTGTTCCACTTCCTCCACTATGACAGGCCACCTGCTGCACTAATATCTGTTGAAAGGCTCTGCTGCTACCTGCAGAGTCCCAGCTTACCAGCCTGCTACACAGCAGACGCCCTGCTGGTTGAGTATTATCATAATCACTGGATGAAGGGTCCATATTTAAACGTTTTCCATGCATGTATATAGGAAACAGACATAACTACAATTACTCTCACACCAGCACCTGAAGAAGTGCTTGGAAGCTAAAGTATGAGTACAGAACTTTTAATTTTAACAAAATATTAACTTAAACAGCAACCTTTGTGCAATTTAATGCGGTAGAATTGTCCTGGCCACCAAACTGCTGGAATACTGGGAAACAAAATGATCCCTTATGGGTCGAAAAGGTTTTGTTAAACAAAAGATTCAGAGAGGAAAGATGAGAACCGCAAAGCAAATTATTTTAGCTTTCTTACTAAAAATAGTCAGTAATCAGTGATCCATTCACAAGTGAAACTAATGAGGTTTAGAAAAAAAAACTTGAAAAATAAATGCATTACTTTTCTATCAAATGGATGGAAGCAAATAAGCAAGACTGTACAGAGTTAGAACAGAGCTGGGTTGTAGACTGAAAGGTTAGGGATGTACAGAGAAATCGTTTGGTGAGTGCAATTAGTAAATGACCGGCTCCGTAACACAAAAATCAATTTTTACCAACACTGAACATAAAGATTTCGGTTGCCCTAATTATGACACTCTTTGGAGTAGAAGGTGTTACTAAGGGAAGAAACATCAATTAGTTATTTTTGATATTAGTGAGGTGTTTAAAGTTAAAGTCAGGGAAGGCAGAGAATGAGCTAAAAGTTAACTACCAAATAAATATTGCAATTAGCAGGAAAGCTGAACATATCAAAGCAAAGATGGCCTGTTTTGTCTTTTTCACTTCAAACCGTTGTCCGTCACAGAGCATGCTGGACTTGGAAATGTTGGCAGCCATTTGCAAATTTCAGAAATTTAAGTAAGATTGAACATTCTTTCTGTTTATAGTTACTAATTCTCACAGTGCTAATCACTAATACACTAAAGATAAAACTTATAGCCAAATAGGGATTTTGCCTCCTTAAAATAAAAGTATAGGCTTGTAAATTTTCTCATTTACACCAGATGAGGGATATATTACAAATACTTGACTTAATAGTTCCTAAAAACCAATTAATGAGGAAAATATTGGATGTCGGCGTGTCTAATGTTTGCAAACCAAATAGAAAGAACTGATTTTTTTTTTCTCTGAGCGCAACACCAAAGAAAATTCAACCACTTTTATACATTGCAACTGGACCACGGTTAATATGGACGTAATGCAGTTTCGGGAGACGGCTTTCAAGGCAAGTGAAGCAGCTGTAATCCAGCCTCAACAAATGTTGTGGACATCAACACAAGATGAACGTAAAAAAAAACCTCCTCTTTAGAAATGACTGTAACTTTTAAGCACATTACTGCACCATGTCTAGAAAGTTATTCCTCTAACCTACTTTAAAGTTGAAGTGACTGACTACAATTTGTCCAACAAAGTCCCAAACTGAGATTCTAAAGGCAATGAGTTCAACATGCAGAGTAAAATTAGAACGGTGGAACAAATAGTGTTTCTTTCCTTTATCCCACACTGGCCTATCTGTAACCCAGAAACAACAAATGACTCAAATGAATTTAAAACATGCTTTATTCTTACCAGTTTTTATGGGTGACAGTTTGACAGTTCCTCCAAAATGGATTTCTTTCTTTTTTTTTTTTTTTGCAAATATCTGATCTAAGAATAAAACTCCAGTTCTGAAGCATCACGCAAATGATCTCCATATCACAGCGTGGCTGTTTGTTTTTGTGCAGCGCTGCCATTTAGGCTGATGATCTGACAATATGAGTGCTTTTTAAATGGCCTATACGCAGGAGCATGAAGAACTATTTGAAATTAGGTGAGCAGAGTTAAGCTCTAGGCTTCAACATCACTGACTCACAACAGGAGGCTCGAGTCATAACGCTCAGCAGACATATTACCAGTCGTTTTGGGGAGAATATTAACTGAAGCTGTTCTGGCCCACCATTTGCATGCTTCATAGCATAATTTTTTAAAAGCGCGTTAAGATGCACACAGATTCTAACTGTTTCCAATCTCCCTAAAGGGATTATTATTCAACAGAAACCAAAAAAAGATTCATCTTCATATTCTATGGCTGACCTGCTGAGAAACGCTGCACTAGTGAACAACTTTCGATAGGGGTTTCTTGAACCGATATTGATATCGGATTTCGGTCCGATATCAAGCAAAAAATGAGTATCAGATTATAACGGCCTGCATAAAATCTCTGATAGAAGCATTCTGCCCCAGCATTTCCATCCAGCAGCGCTTCTATCCCATTGGATAATAATACATCAGTGTTTTTCATACTTATTGAGTAACATCTCTTGATCAAGCCGTTTCTAACATTCCACACTACAAAAACAGTAATAATAATTCGTGTTGACATTGTATCAGGTCAATATCGGTATTGGCCAATACTCAAAGCTGTGATATCAGTATCGGAACTGAAAAAAGATGTATCGCTACACCCCTAATTTTCAAGATCCACAGAAAATAAAATCAACATAACCGTGTCATCATATTTTGATAAATGGGTTAAGAAAGTACTAAAGAGATTTTAAAGTTGTTATGACAACAAACAGATGAAAATGTGCATTTCTTACCCACCAAGTTGAAATATATCTACTTACTGTCTATGCACAACAGAAATTTTTGTCATTATGCAGTTTATAATACTAATACAGCTGCTTAATATTTTAATAAATATCACAAGTTACTGATAATTAATAAACGATATATTTAAAACATTTAAGACATTTAACATATTTCCAAATAGGTTGTTTATTGTAGAATTTTGTTTATGTCTTTGTTTTGAAATAAAAGTAGAATTAATAAATTAATGGTAGAATTGGCCTGTCTGAAGAGATTGTTTGTGCAAAATATGTCCGGGTAAACCACAAACAAGCTGATATAGTAACAGTTCACAGATTTTTTTACTTAACAATTTAAGTCTTTTTTTTACACAATATTATTAAAACATTAAAATATGAAAGTAAAAAATAGTTCAATTAATTTTTTTAAATAAGAAAATAAATATTTATTGCCTAGAACGCAATAACATAGAATTCCTTTACCGAATTTGAGCCGGTTGAATATTTAAAAAAAAAAAAGCCACTTGAGTAGTTTTGGATAAAACATATTTATATTTATTTAAAGGCAAAATGTGTATGTTGTGCAGTTTTGGCTTAATTCCTGCTCTCAATATGTTTAGTTTTTTTTTCAGGAAATGGCCTTTTTTCCAGTTAATGATTAATGATTACTAAATTAGTTGATGATTGTTTCAATCACAATAAATTGGATTAATCCTTTCAACCCTACTTTTATATAGGAAAGTCACAATTGTGTTTTTGATTGTGACTGGAGTAAAGCAAAAAAAAAAAAAAAAAGGAAAAAAAAAAGATTATTATGTCGAACTGCAGCATGGTCTTTCACAGCATCGCAGTGAAAATAATTACACTGTGGAGCACAAGTCTTGGTCTCACTGCTGAGAGACACAACAGTTCATACCAGACCACTCAGCCAGCGATGCCGGCTCGCACATTTACTGAAAACACTCTGCGGGAGAGGAGCAATATGAAATCAAATCGCAGTCGTCATTACAGCATCAAGCTCTGCAATCTCCAACATGCAACATTTAGCATCGTATCACGGTGCATTCGCTTTCACGTTCAAATTCCACATTTAGCCAGTTCAATGGACTCTTCAGTTCAAACTTGGCATGAGCTTTAAGTGATGCAAAAAGTGATAGGTGAGAAAGCGGCATGTGGCCAATGGCATGCTGGGAAAAAGGAAGAGAGGGAGGAAAATGTGGCTAATCGTGTTATGACACAACCAAAGTCGGCAACAAGCTAGTCATAAATAACTGGAGAAATTTCTGGTTGATGCTAATTTCTGGTTTTCTGACCTGCTTACTCTGATTTTGATGGTTTAGATGTATTTCCAAAGATTACACCATATAAAACATAAAAAATGTGGCACAGGTTCTGACAGAGAACAAATTGATCGCAGCATTACATCTTATCAGTGTGCACCATTGCTCACAAAAAGTTGTGTTTAGCACACAAACATGCCTTAAAAAAACCTGATATAATGTAATAATACAAGTGGAGATGCAACAGCCAAGATTTTTTTTATGTTGATACCATTTATTGATGTCCATAAGATTTATGGACTTTTTGTTCAACTAAAAACACATCAAAGTTCATGCAGCTAATGTGTTCATAAATGAAAAAAAATGGGGATTTTTTTGTTTTTTTTTTTTTTTTTTTGCATCTAAACTAATATGACCTGCTGATTACTTATTGGGGAAGATTGAGGGAAAATTGACCGATTCCGATCTCTAGCTTACTGATTGGTGCATCTCTGCATTGATTTGTTTTTTTTTGTTGTTTTTTTTTTATCTGCAAGGTAATGGCTTACTCTGTGGCACGCATAAGTGAATATTACTACTGTAATTCAGTGCTAAGGTTAACAGAAGAAAAGTGTCACATTTAGGTAAACCAAATACATTTATATATTTTTCTATCTTTTAAGAACCCATGTTTCATTTGAAAAATTAACATTAGCAACGCTGTTATGAAGCCTGAACGTTGCCAGTACACTCAGTAGGATTCGTGTAGAAAAGAACTAAAAACGTCAAAATTAAAAATGGGGTCGACATTGTCTCTTACAGGTACCTATAAGACACTGAAGTGACAAACCACTTATAGCCTTAATAACGACACACCCTCTGAAAGACCCCCAGCAGCTTTTAGCTCGCCGAGCAAAGCCTCTTGCTTTATAAACGAAGCCTAAGGGAGAAAACGCCGACGAGCAGCCCTGCCCGAGCCCACACCGAGCCGCGGCTGACAGAAACAGCTCACCGAGAGCCCAGACCACTCGGCGAGGCCAGCGCTTGGAGAACCGCTTTCATTGCGACCAGCATTTCCTGTCGCTGTGGTTTCACTCTCCTCAGCTACAACACCGCAGGCACGACGGAGAAAGGGGGTGAGGGGGGAAATTATCGCGTTTAGCGGCCTCTACTTACCTGAACATAATTGTTTTCACAGTATTCTGCAACCCGGGACAGGTTCTGATAGCTTTCCACCAGCGCTCTTTTACCGGCCGGGATTTCCTCCTCTAATAGCATTTGTAGCTCTGCCATCTTACATCCCTTTGCATTGCTCTCCTGCCCGTCTTTTTTTTTCAGTGAGGCGAGGCTGTGATGCTGTGCTGTGTTGCTGAGAAAGGGGCTCCCCCGTCTGGCATTGTGGCTCCGCGCTGGCCTCCGATTCACAACAGTGCGTGACTAATCGCAGCTACGTTGTAAACGGAGAGCGCTCATTGGTTCAGAAACCGAGAGGGGGGAGGAGCTAACCAATCAGATTTCGCTGCGGCGGTTTTACACGTAATTATATGGCCGTGTAATATTTTAGTAGAGTTTTCATTTAATTAGTATAGAAAAGTAATATTTAATATGGTAATATAAATAGATTATACAATTTTTGTCTTTTTTATATTTAATTGTCATAGTAAAAAAAAAAGCTTGTAATAATTATTAAAATTTTAACTACAATAATAAATCACAAATGGAGGTGTACATTTAATCTCTCTGACGTATATCATCCAATAAAGTTGAAGTGAATTTACAAATTGAATACTAAATTAATTTAAAAAATATCTTTCTCTTGTCATCCAATAACACAAATATTAGCATATCGAGCATTCTATGAAATACAGAAATCCCAAATTTTCCGTATTAAAAATAAAATTTCTAAATGAAATAGATTTTTTTTAACTTGTAAAATTACATAAAATTGATATGACAAATATCAAGTATGCATTCACCAGCGTTTATTTTCAGATTTTGCTAAACAAAGCTTACATTTCCCATAAACCCCCTCGCTCCTATCGCCCGACAGAATAGATAGATAGATAGATAGATAGATAGATAGATAGATAGATAGATAGATAGATAGATAGATAGATAGATAGATAGATAGATAGATAGATAGATAGATACTTTATCATTCCCTGTTGTCTTATAACACAATAGTGAATAAGCAAACTTGGACTAATATAATTCAAATCAATCCTTATTTTCTATATTTGTAAGTAAAACATTTGTCCGAAATTTACATATATCATTGTGATAACGCTAAAATAAATCCAGAGCGCTTATATGACATGCATTTCCAAAGATATGGCAGACTGACTTCTTAAAGCTACAAACGGGGTTTCAGCTTTTTGCTGCATAGACGAAACATGTTTTAAGACTACATTTCCCATAACCAACCTGTGTTTTAAATCCCCCCAGTAAAGGAGGTTTGTGGGATTTGAACGCCTTCAGCGGTGGGAGGCGAACCTCTTCCAAGCGTGGCTCTTGCTGCTATGAACTACATTTCCCACAAACGAGTAGCGCTCAAGCGTTAACTGCTGGGCTCATCCTTAACCCGAGAGGAGATTGGCTCTCTGCTTCAACACTGCAGGCAGACACCGGCTTTATGAAGTAATAAGGTGGGTTTCTTCAAAATCAGAAATGGGAGGTTGGGGGAAATATGACTTTAAATAAAAAGAAGAAGAAGAAGAAAAAAGAAAGCACATAGGTTGCAACAGATTTAATGGGTTACGCGAATATTATAGACCAGGGGTGTCCAAAGTCGGTCCTCGAGGGCATGTTTTAGTTCTCTCCCTGGTTTTACACACCTGCATCAAATGATGGCTCGTTAGAAGGCCTAAGGAGAACACTGACTTGCTGAGGAAATTGATACTACCACTAGCGAGAGAACTAAAACATGCAGGGTGCCGGTAGCATGCGTATCTTCTGTTTCTCTCCATAGGCTGCAGGGCAGGGGGACTGCACCCTTCATCGGACACTCTCTGATCCACCTTGATTTTTTTTAAATTCTCGTCCAAGATCTGAGGCTCCTTTCATGTCATCCCCGCGTGGACTCGGCATGGCGCAGCAGGAGAAGAAGAAGGACGAGGAGGACGAGTACAGCCTGGAGGCGAAATTTACCGCTGCGGTTAAAGTGATCCGGAGTTTGCCTGATGAAGGTGATGAATCATCCTGATCTGTTCTGAAAAAAGAAAGGGCAATTATAAAATAAACCCAGAGTTGTCTAATTGTGCGCAGTAGTCCATGTAACGTGCGCGCCTTGTGGAGTGTAAACAATCCAGGTGACTGACCTACATGCGGAGCTGTCACTCCTCCCCCCCTGCTCTCATAAAGCTACTGCACAAGGATAAAGAGCCGTGATTAAGGGAGTCAGAGGCTTAGATCATGGATTAACACACAATTCTGAAAAGGAATCTTTTAAATTGTATATTAAAAAAAAAAGAGGTTTTAAATATCATCATGTCATAGGTCTTCTTCTTCATTTCTTAGGTCCTTTCCAGCCTTCTGATGACATGATGCTGATGTTTTATAGCTACTATAAGCAGGCCACCATGGGGCCCTGTCACTTCCCCAGACCGACTGGCTTCTGGGACACTGGAGGCAAAGCTAAATGGTAAACTAACTTTTTTTTTAAAGCTGAATTAAACTTAAAAAATATGCAAAGATGAATTTATTAGAGCTCAACCATGCTTTGGAGATCATCTGCATTGCCTTGGAACTGTTATTTTGTTTTGTCAATATGGCTGTAAAAACCAGCAAAAATGTAAACATTTGTGGTGTTAATATGTTGTTGTCATCCCCATTTTCAGGGATAATCTTAAATCAAATTCAGAACAACCGATTGTTTTTGGTGGCGGATCAGTCCATTATTCAAAAATAAAAGGTTCTGCATAACTGGTTCCAAGATGTGGGCCTCCTTCTAAACAGAGAGGCACCAATCAGAGCAAGGAGGCGGGTCTTAGCGCTGTTAATCATGCTCCTACACATGTATTTCTGCAGATGGCAACGTAGCACTAGGTGGGACAGCTTGAATTTTTTTTTTTTTTTTTTTTTTTGAAAGATCATATGTCTCATACTATCATGTCATGGTGACAGTTTAAAAAAATATATGTGAAAAATAAGTTATGCTGCAGCTTTAAAGATAGCCAGAAGAAGTCAAGTTTTCAGTTTGCCACAAGTTATGATGCACACCAGTGGTCCTTTGGGCCTGCTATCCTCCATGTTTTTACATGTTCCCCTGCTCCATAACATCCCTGCAAACTCATTTACTTTAACCAGGGTTGTGACGACAGGGAAACGTCTAAACCATGCAGCTCAGTGAGTCCTAAAGATAATGGAAGTAGAAACGATACAGCAAACATCTGAAAAGCAGTGCTCATGTTAGACGAGACCAAAGGTGAACTTTCTGGCCTCTGTCATCATTAACAGACCTGTCATGGGGATGCTGTTCATCAGCAGGGACAGGAAGGTTTATGGTTAATGGAGAGACTTAAACACTGGGTTTGTTTAGGAAGGAAGAAACCCTGTTGAAGGTCAAAAGGGATAAAGATTGGGATTTATTTTCTAGTGGGAAAAAAACAACTGTGGCAAGACTTAAAAAGTGATATCCAAAGACCCACCCAATCTCACTGAGCTTCAGCTAACTTTCAAAGAAAAAAAGGCCAAAGCTTTTATTAAAAAAAAAAAAATTAAAATATAAATGAAACTTAAGGGTTGTGTTGTAATACTCTTTTCAAGGCATTGCATTTGATCACTACCCAAAGCTTACTGCTTTATTAATTTTCTGAAAAGACTTTCAGATAGACGGCTTCGCTTGAGTTATATGGCATTCATCTCTTTCCTCTGTGTTGAACTTGGACTTTGTTGTCAGGGACGCATGGAGCTCTCTGGGAAACATGACAAAAGAGGAAGCCATGAAGAGTTACATAGAGCACATCCAGCTGGTAAGCTGCTTTCCCACAAAACAGAAGCATAGACTACAGTAACGTGTTCGAGTTTTGCTCTGTGCATCAACGTTTGTGCGCGAGCGTTAACACGTCCGTGTTAACTGCCCAGAAAAAAAGACATTGGACTTCTGTGCTACTGAGTTGGTGTCATATCCACTGGAACTCTGCTGTGTGTTTGTGTGTGTGCGTGTTGCTGTCAGATTTTGGAGACCATCCCAATCTCAGAGGAAGTTACAGAGCTGGTGCAGACGCTTGGCAACTTCTACACCGAGGTGGACGGAGAGGGAGAGGAGGAAGGAAACCAGTCAGTCAGGAGGCCCTTCACCAGGCCTTTTGCGGATCACACAGGTAAAGAAGATAAGTAACAACCCAGCGTTCATGCTGCTTCAGACCTAAAGGCACATCAAATGTAATAAGAGCATACTGTGTTTTTGCCATGTGTTCGTATCATTAGAGGAGCTGATTAAATCGATTAAGAAGCCAACGATGGAAGGCAAGTCTTTGACGTTAGTTGCTTTAGACTCAGTAGAGATAGGTTGTGTTGTGCATTAGCTTGGTCCAGTTAAAGAGCGGACATTAGATCAAATGTGTGTTTTCATTGTTTATGTTGTATTTAATTGACCTGTGTTCATGCAGAATTCAGAATTGGTCAAAGCTTATGTGCGTGTGTGTGTGTGTGTGTGTGTGTGTGTGTGTATAATGTTCTGCTTCTTGCAAAAGTATTGATGCTCCCTATGGGGCTTTTCCACATGAATCGCCCTTGTTTCAATTCGGTTCATTTTCACTTTATTGCCAAAACAACCAGTAGTATAAAAGACAGACAAAACTGGAAACGATTAATTAAATTCAAAAATTCTTTATTGATCCCAAAGGGAAATTAAAATGGTGCAAATTGGTGCAATATGTATAAAAGTAAAAACATGCAATAAAAACCAGATACCTGGGGAAAACATGACAGCTCTTATAAAAAAAAATACAGTAAATGTGACAAGTAATGTAATGTAAACAGAATGAACTGTGCAATTATATTAGTTTTGTAAAAAATTGAAAACCAATTAATCACATTTACGTAAGTATTCACCCCCCATGGGTATATATTTATCGTATCATTCATCAGTTATCATAAGATTTTGATTTATTGATGTCACAATAAATTCCAATCAATTATGTTTTAAAACCCCTGAGACTGTCCATATGAGTATCAATAAATTTGAAGATATGAATAACCTGTAATTTCTTTTCTTTACTTTTGGAAGCTGTAAAAGTTTTGCTTTGGCTCTGGTCATCTAATTTAAATTTTAAAGCACAAATAATAGGTTGACTACTCTTAGGTAATATCATTTTCATATAGCTAGTGTGAATGGTCACATGATAAGATCTCTTTATTTGCTGCCTGAACAGCTGGAGGTAAATGCCTGCCTCAAACTTGAACAAGAGGACGTGAATAAAACTTTTGATAAACAAACACGACTACATATGTTTTTTAAAGGGTTTTCTCCTGACATACAATGAGAATTTTATCACAGAAAGCATCTTTTAGTCATACGAAGAGTAAATGTAAGCCCAGCAACAATTGCTGCTAGCATGCTACGCTGATAGCACTAAGCTAGGTGTCAAAGGTTTTGACTTTCACACCTTAGTTTTAAACTGTGTGGAAAAAAATTATCAGATGTTTTACATCAGAAAAAAACAAATCAAAATGAAGTGTTCCACGTCAGTCATTCCCACAGTTGAAAAAGGTTTTTATCTTTAGGTTTAAGTGGTGTGAATGTTTGGTAAGACACTGTAGACTCTGAAGTGCCGTTTGTCACATTTCAGGCTATGGGGATCTGTGGGAGGACATTCAAAACGTCCAGGAGAGAGACGGAGACCTCAGTGCCCCGAGACGAAGTGTGAGCAGCGAGGAGGCAGAGGGAGGCAAAGTGATAACGGAGGAAAGCGGGGAGAACTGGAATGACGACTTCTGCGCCGACAACGTGGAGACCAGAGGTACAACGAAAAAAGCAGAAATTCAAAAATAAAGAGACATTGTCAAATGTTCCTGTTTTTTTTTTTTTGTTTTTTTTTGACCCCAGATTGGGACCAGGACCCACGCTTTTTAACCGTGGAGGATAAAAGGTGGCGCTCTGACACTAAGGGGTCGAACAGCAGCCTGGAGCCCAGCGTGTCGTCCTTCACCAACGGCACGCACAGCTCCCTGAACAGCGAGGTGGAGGAGGAGGAGCTGGCCTGTTCCATGGAGCCCACTGGGCTCCACAACCCATACCTGCACTTTAATGGATACTTCAACGGTAGGATCCCCCACATTATTACTGGGTCAAAAATAGTCCCAGTAAGAACAATCGGATGTGAAAAATTCATCTTCTTTCACTAAATGCAAAAAAGAAAAAGGAAAACTTCAGGTAACATTATATCACTATATAGCTCTTAACATGAACTTGGTAAATGTTTTTTCCTGAACTTTTGAAAAAAACAATGGAACTCAATGAAAATAAAACACAGCTTTTCCCCCCTTCACTTTATCAGAGCTTCATGTCTTTGCAGACACTATGACCTTGAGACATTTTTTCCTTTTCGACTTGATTTTTTTTTCAATTGAATCTTTTCTCCATAGTTCTGAAGTTAGTCAGCAGCTGACTTTCCATTGACCATCCAGTTGTGCAATTTGACATTTCGAAAACAAAATTTGCTTAATGGAAACATGGCCTATTTGGGGGGAGGAAAAAATTGATTTTTGATGAGTTTTGGAGATCAAGTGATTTTGGGGAAAATGATTCAGAATATTTAGAAATTGGTTGATTTTTGCAACAGTGGGAACACTTTTCTCATGTCACACGAGAAAAGTGTGACATGAGAAAAGTGTGACAACTACTTCCTGCTGGAAGTAGTTGGAGAATCATGGCGTGGAATGATTTCTAATGACTTATCGTGTGAACAAACTTTTTTTATTTTTTTTTAAAATTGTGTTTCTTATTTAATGGAAACAACACTCCAATATTGGCTTGTGTGCTAGTGAAGCAGTTTCGCTGTCAGATTTTCAAACCAAATATTCAGTTATTAGATGGATGTGATTAGTGTTTTGTTTTTTCTGGTAACACATTTATGTTTTTGGTATGCTTTGTTTTCTGACCACTCAGACGACCACGGTGCGAATCCTGAGCGGAACCGTCGACCCACAGACTCTGACAACGAGGAGTTCTGTGACTCAATGGAGCATCTGGCCATGGAGGAGGTTTGCCGTGTCTCTTCGTCTCCCCGATGAAAATAAACGTCAGAACTGGAGATGTACCAGTCAGACAAACAACGCAGCTCTGAACCGTAAAGTTTACTCCTGATTGGATTGATTGGCAGATGGTAGTTTGGATTTTTAAATATAAAGCTAGAAAGTCCCACAATTTTCAGCCTATAAACACATCAACCTACAGGAAGTACATTATAGCACTTTGTAAAGTTATCGGATAGAAATCCGATAACGGTTTGCGACACCTGTTTTGATACTGGAATTAACTTATACACTTGCAAAAATACAAAAGCTTACAAAATACTTTTGGTCTAGTTTCTAGTGCAAATATCATAGCACACTTAAAATAAGACAAAACTAACTTACAAGTAACTTTTCAGCAAGATATGAGAACTATGTCAATGATTCCTTAATACTGATGGAAAAAAAAAGTTCTAGTTCCACTGGCAGATTATTTCCTTTGTAACACGGGAAAAATTTAGCATTATGACTGAAATAATCTGCCAGTGGAAGTTTTACTTTTTCATCAACATTAAGGAATTGTTGACTTAAGCAAGCTCCTATATTTTGCTGGAAAGTTACATGTAAGTTAGTTTAGTCTTATTTCCAGTGTACTGGGATACGTGCACTAGACCAAAAATACTTGTGTTTTTGCAGTGTCTGTCTTTATTCTCTATTGGATTCAAAACTACTACATTTAAAATAAAATAAAAAAAACTGTGTCTCATTTCTTGTTTATTACATTGCTTTAAAAAAAATTGCAGTCTTTCAGTCAGACCTCAAAGAAAACCACTGTTCATGGTGTAGGTGGTTGTCTATAATCGATAGTGTGTAACTCTTTTCGGCTGTGCCCGACTCTTGTTTGCGTGCGCAGCGGCTGCCTCCGTCTAAAGGCCGGTCCCCCGGGTCGGGAGCTACATCGGCGAAGACGAGCGACGTTTGGTTTGAGAGCAGCACGACCTTGAAAGATGCCGAAGACGAAGGACCGGCGGGAGATTTCCACATGAAAGAAAAAGCGGCTCTGAGAAAGCACAGCAGCTCCTTGTCGAAACGAGAACGAGGGCGAGGTGAACCTGCAGTAGTTTCCCCTGATTACACTGCATCACTGAAGGGGCAGTATTATGTGTTCTCCAGGCATTTAGTGCCATTTTATAGCACAATCAAGTAACTGCGTTAACTTCAGTTTCTTTTTTTTTTTATTGCTACATGTATCAAATACTAAATTTGACTTTATAATTTAACGCCTTGAAATTGGGGCTCTGTCGCCTTAAAAACTCCTGGTGTTTCTGAAACTCCGTGAGGCAGAAACTCTATAGCTTGAAAACTGCAGCTTCCCTGAAGGCGGGGCTAGGTCCAACCAAACCTTTTGCACATAATCGTTCCCATGGGAGATTAAGGGATTTCTCAAATATGCATGAAATAATCAAGGCAACACTACAGGTTTGTTTTTGATGAGGGAATAAAATTATAACGCGATCTTTAGCTCAAAAAAGTCGAATTTTGCATAAAACCGCCCCTTTAAAACGTTGATTTTCCCCACAAAGTTCTTGTTCTTGAATGCATCTCTTGTTCTGTCGCAGGTTCGCCCAGAGCCACCTGCTTCCCTCTGCGTTGTGCAAGCGCAGACGCTGCCTGTGGTTGTGTGTTGCGGAGCACACATCCTGCCGTTGCTACGAGGGGAAACATGAACGAGCAAATAGCAGCTACTCTGCAGAGGCTGCAGCACAACATGGCCGACGTGCTGCACAGGCTGCATGCTCTAGAAGAGCTCACCAGGTCACAGGTGATCAACCAGAACCGCCAACTGCTTTATTTGCTTCAGCGGCATCCGGACTTGTTCTGTTTTACGTCACATTTTTTGCTCACCTCGTTTACCGACACCGGTCTGCGTATCCTAAAAGATGCCTTTATTTTCTTATTTTTAGTCAAGACCTCCATCTCCAAGACAGGAAGGCTTCCTACCTGTCCCACGAAAGGTTCTCGTCATGTCTGTTCTCTTCTCACTGTTCTCGTTCTTATTATTACAGTAGCAAAGAGTGAACGTCAATGGCATAAATATTTCTATAAGGTTTTCTGCATAAATTTTTTATGAGATTCTTTAGTTTTGAGCTGACAAAATTAATGGTCTCCTTTTATTAATGGTCATTTATTGGCCAAAATAGATTTTGGCAAAAAAAAATAAATAAATAAATAAATGTAATTGCGTTTAAAAAAAACTTGGCACAACTAGTTAATAGGTTTAGGTAGCAATTATTTTTCACATAGGAATTAATTTTATTTTATTTTTTTTTTTGCCTGAATAAATCAAATCATCATAACCCTCACCTCCAGAACATAAAATGAAGAAACAGCATGCAGGCAAACTGTTAAAGCTTAAGGGGTTAAAAAATATATTCTGGACTTACTTGTGTAATTATCTTATTTAAGAAGGCGTGGACAACAGATGCAACTTTTAAGTTTTAGAAAAAAACAGATTCCTCTTCACTTGATTTTATGAATGACATTTGTATTTAATACAACCATATGCTGGACTTAAAATCATTTGAAGCTTTAAGTGTGCACACTGATAATAAAGGAGGCATTTAGGTAGCAGTGAGGAACTTATTCACGTATTTGGTTGTGGGATTTACATGATGCGATGACGTGAAGACACTAACATCAGACCCAGCTTTAAAAAAACATTGAACATGTCAGTGAGGATCATCTGTTAAAACCACATCCGAATCGTTTAAAATCTAGATTAAGACGGTAATTACACAATAGTAGCTTCCTGCTAAACTAAACAGCTTCCTGTAAAAAATAAAATATTCATATTTTCTACCCTTCAAAAGAACATAGAAAAACATAGATGAAATGGAAAAAAATCTGCCAGTGGAACTAGTGCTTTTTTTAAAATCACTATTAAGGACTTAAAACAATCTCTAGATTTGCTGAAAAGTTACTTGTAACCTAGTTTTCTCATTTAAAGTGTGCCGAGATATTTCCACTAGAAACTAGGACAAAAATACCAAAGATTTTGCCATCTAGCCACTTTGATAAGGTTCAGGCAGTGATGCATAAATTTGCACCATGGTAACCAATTTTTGTGTGAACCCCAGAAAGCTATAATTGTTTTTACTCGTAATCATCATATGAGCTCAAAAGTGATGTTTCTCCCCTGACAAATATCCCATTACCTCAGTAAAAAAGATAGTTTTTGGAATAATGAGTAACATTTTGCATTAAAGCGGCATGTTTACAAAACATGTTTTTTTCCATAATTATTAAAACTGTCTTTATGTTGTGACAGTTTTGTATGAGACAGATAATCTGTGAAAAATCTGAGCTCCTCCGACACCTTTCCGCACTCCTACTGTCGGTCAGAGCCAGGAGGGCTGTCTTAGTGCTGTCAATCAAGTTCGTGTATGCTGCTCAATGTGCTAATGGTGGAAAAACAACTTACTGTTACAGGAAAACTGTTTAGTTGTGGCTGTGCTAACTAGCATTAGCATTAGTGGCAGGTTATGTTGTGGTGAACCAGCAATAGCTTAGCAAAGAGCAAGCAGGAGAAGGGCTGAGCATGAGAGTTATTGACAGCGCAAAGACCCTCCTCCTGGCAGTGATCTGTTTCTGAATGGTGTTCTAATGTAGTTAGTGCTGGGAGCACTGGGAGAAGGCAGAATAATAATTTTAACAAATACTTAAAAATAAAATCATATGATTTATAAATAAAAGTTGCATGATGCATCTTTAACCAAAGATAAAGACTTCCATTTCATTTCACCTTCATAGATATTTATTTTCTGATCTAAGGAAAACGGCATGAAAAGGGTAATCCACAATAACGGCTGTAGAAGGAGCAGCTGCTTTCACATGTTACAAAACGTCTTACAGTCGCTACCAAAATGTTATTATCGTTTGTTCATTTCGGTTTCTGTCGGCTGCCTGTGTGTGTTGTAGCTCCTGAGGCCGTCTTGGTGGCCTTTCCACCTCTCTCCACTCACTGTGGTGTTGACGGCACTCTGGCCTCTTGTCACCCACTGGCTTGTCCAACTTTATTTCCAGCGTAAAAGAAGGTGAGCAGGATTCATGCCTAATAATAATAAAAGCTTACTAGATTTTAATATTTTATTTCGACTCAGTTTCCACTCTTCTGTTCACAGGAAAATACCGTGAGGGTTCTGACACCCGGCAGGAACCAAAAACGCACTTTTGTTTCCCTGTGGCTTCGCTCCAGCTGACATTCCAAACGTGCAGTTATGAAACTTAAATCTGAAAACTGCAGGAAATTGGTGGTTTCTCCTAAGCAAGGGGAGCCCTGTTAGGTGTGTGAGAAGGTTTAATTATAGCCTGTAGCCACAAAATGACTGAAATGAAATGATAGTTTATGATTATACAGTGACTGTAGTTCACCAGTGTTGGGAGTTTTCTAGATTCTCGTTATTATTTATTTGGTGGATCACGTTTGTGCAGTTTAGTTAATTTTAATGTATCGGGAAGATATATTTATAAATAATAAATCGGTGTTTAACGTGCGTGTTTGTTTATTTTTTTACATTTAAATAGGCCGAGGGTATTTCTCTTAATATCTGATATACATTTCATGTAGCAAGCAGAGATTTTAATATGTAGCTTGTCGCTGCAGTGCACTAATAACGATTCCTCCTTTTACAAAAGCTGAGTCAAAAGCTGACTGCTGAGTCGGCTTTTGTTTTTGTAATTTAGAAAACAAAAAACCTGTGTGAGGTGGGGGAAAAGAAAAGAAGAAAAATATATGCTTTTAAAAAATGAAAAATAATAAAAGCAACACAGAAACTTCTATTGCACATACTGCGAGGTTTGCAGTATGTGGTTTCAGGTGTGTGTTTATGTCATAATTCCTCCTACATCTGCAACATATACTACAGACAATCTATATTAGCCTTAGCTAATCATTCATCTAGTCAGTTTTACAGTATAAATTAAGATGATGTAAATTTTACACAATCTTACAGCAAGACTAGTTGTAATATGTGACTGAAACTTGAAATGTATAATAAAACATTTTTTGTAACAAACCTGTTCTTGCGTCAGTGTTTAAAGTTATTGTTAGTCTGTGGTTGTTGAAAACATTCCATGCACCAAGTATTGATTCCCTCAGCTGATATTTGCATTTTTATTTATTCTTTTTTTAAATACTGGCATGTTTATGAGCATTGGTGCTTGTGAATCTACAGAAGCTGCCACAGTCAGCTCATTTAGCCTATGAACCATCCCAGTTGTATATATGGGGTGCAAATGGAGAGAAAATGGAATGAAATTTAAGCCCCGAATAGGCAAAATAAGGACTCTGTGTTAAATTCTCTATTTTTGTTTGGGTTAGAAAAATTCTGGGTGTTAAGTGGAACTCAGCTGGGTAAGATACACAAAAAAAAAAACAAAAAACAAATGTGAAGTTTTAACCCAGCTAAAAAAATAATAAAAAAATACAGTTTTTATCCAAAAAGGAAATAAAATTTTCTTGTAGAACTTACTCTTCTTTGGTCTCTGGTTCTGCTCAGTAGCAGTGAGTGGTTCGAGCCAAAATATTGTCGATAACGTCAATAATCAGCACATTGCTTCTTGAAATTTTATTTTATTTTTGTAATGTAGTTTCTCAACTCTACCCCACCTCATTTTGTTCTTAAAATATATGTATTTTTTGCACTCTAATGGGAAAATGAAAACACGTTTATTTCGTTTTTCTATTGTTTCTGTTTATCATGTTAATATGTTGTATTTTGTAGACAAATTTATTCCAAATTATGTCCTAACGAAATAATTCAAAAGAGAAATCATAAAAACACGTAAAAGTCAGAAGCTTCCAGATATTTTAAAATTAAATATTAAAAAGTATTGTTATTGGTATCGGCGACACTGGCCCTATATTTATATGATGTTATATCAATATTCAATAGTTTATTCTGTAGTTTCTGTTTCACTTGCTCTGGAATTTGGCGTCATAGTTCAGGTTTTATGTGTATTTTTTGAACGCTACTAAGCTGCTCCCAGTTTTAAAACAATACCTTGTTTCCACGATTACGCATCATAACAATTGTCTGAAAGTAAACAAATAAGACCAAAAAATAATAATTCGCATCCAAAGAATGAAAAACCACAGGGAATAATTGTCTAGGTATGCAATATCTCAACAACAAAAACACAAGAAAAAAGCCAAGAAAAAAAAAACCATAACACAACTACTCCGCCACTTTGTCACCATTATAACTCCACCAATTTATTCTGTTAAAACAAACGTCATTTTAAATTCACTTCAAGAATTTATTCGAGCTGATTCTCCATTATTTACAACTTTCTTAACCAACGGAACTAATCAAAACAAAATAATTTTCGACAGGGACCCCCTTTGTTGTTGTTATTGCCACAATACCGTTGACGTCATATCCGGTTTAATCCTCCCCGCCGGTGTCAGTGCTGCTCTGCTGAAGTTCGCAGTTGAACTTGCTATGCCTGCTGCGGAGAAGCTTAGGGGAGCATACCGACGCCTTTAACTCTACGGAAATAGAGATATAAAGTGACTCAGACTGCCGCAGCGGATATTAGCGGATGATGTTTTCCTTGTCAATGTCTGTCCAGCCACAGGTAAGAAACAAGTAGGCCGAGCTAGCTTTAGCATTGTTGTTGTTTTTGTTTCTGACCTACCCAGCTGGGCTTCGCCTGCTAGGTCAGACCCTGCTGTTTATCTCATGAAACCTTATTAGTTTGTGTGGACATTTAGGGACACTCAACAATTGTACATATGTTTTCCTATTCTACCTTGGTATACATTTAAACTGTTCCAGCTTTGCTTCACCACATTGAGTAATAGTAGTACGCGGAATACTTGGCGTGTTTCAGATATAGCTTTAACATAATTCTGGGACAACAAATGGGGGTTTGATCACCGCTGTTTGAATCATCGCAGGTGACTCTACCTCTCAGTCACCTCATCAACATCCTTCACCCCCTGAAGAGCTCAGTGGGAAGCAGTAGCAGTGCCACCTGCAAGTCAAGAAAACAAAAGGAGCATGTCCCGGANCACATACCTGCATTAAACAGCAGAAAAAGAAAAGTCAAAAACAGGCTCTTTCTCTGCACGGTGCTTCACAGCGCCTGTTTAACAAAGTTTGAATGCCGAAAAGCACATTATTTTACAAAAACATAATACTTATATTTAAAATACACTTATTATCCCCAGAAAACAAAACTAGATACCTTCTCCCACACGGGATTCGAACAGAAAGAGCGCGCGTCGCACGTGTGCAACTTAATGAATAACAAAGCCCAAAGATGAGCATAATAATTTTAAACAGTACATGAATAACAAAAAAAAATAAGAATTAGACAAAATATTCAAACCAAAAGCAATGAAACATCACATACCTGCATTAAACAGCAGGAAAAAAAAAGTCAAAAACAGGCTCTTTCTCCGCACGGTGCTTCACAGCGCCTGTTTAACAAAGTTTGAATGCCCCAAAGCATCTTATTTTACAAGAACATATCACTTATACTTAAAATACACTTATTAAACACAGAAAACAAAACTTCATACCTTCTCCCACGGAATCCGAACAGAAAGAGCGCGACGGAGATCGTGGGAAAACCTTTCATGAACTATAGTGGTATGCCCCGTTAATTTTTCTTCTTAAACCCCAAACTGACACTCAAAACAACAATATATGAACTCAATATGTGTAACAGTAGACATAACAATTTACATTTTCATTTATAACACACCAAATTTAAATAAAAATAATAATTTTTGAAACAGGAAGTTACCCGCTGTTTACAATGGATCTGCCGTCTTTTCAAAATAAAAGCTGGTACTGTTCAGATGAGTTCCTACCGGAATAGCGTCACACTTGGCAATCTAGTGTAATAACATCACACTGCTACATTCACCCCCACTGTTTTACACTAGATTGCGGGCATCTTACCCAAATAACAAAAGAAAACAACAAGCGTACAAAAATAATCTTACAATTTTTTATTTATTTATTTAGTTTTTTACAAATCTGACCATGACAATACACGTAACCCAGGTATACCTTCCATACAAAACCAAAATGGTCGACCAGCAAAGAGCTATTCGATAAAGAATTAGGAGAGATGAGGGGTAGCTAAGTCCCCACCTCACCATAGAAGACATGCCACTTACACATCTATCATAGAGTACACCCAAAATCACCCCAATGTGTCCAGTGCAATGGACAACCTAAATAAAATCATGACCAGACCCCATTATAATAAATCCCAATAAAAGAAAGAAGAAAAACAATAAATAACACAAAATAAATGGCCCTATGACAAAATCTTAACTCTTTGTGTGGATATTGTCTGAATCAACCTGTTAACAGGTTTGATAAGTCTTCCCAGTCTCGTCCGTATCCCGTCCCCTGGAACAACCGAAAGAGTCCTTGAAGGTACAACAGTAGCGACTGAGTCACATCCAGACACATGTGAGCCACTAACGGCCTTCGTTGAACCTATGGTGTCACTTGAGGGTAAACCTGCGCTGACAGAGTTTGAAAGCTGGTCACCATTGTGATCCTCTGAGTGTGAGCTCTCTGATCTATGATCTGCCCCATCCAAGATGCTCTGATGGTCCCCACAGGCAGACATGATCCCTGTACCCTGAACGCTACCATCATTCACTCCAATAGCTTCAGAGTCACTAGCTACTGTAGCTTCACCTGTGGTCATCACCACACTGGACCCTGGAAGGGAGGAAACCCAGTGAGCTGTTCGAGCATCACTGTCACGCTCACCTGGACCCACATCATCTGACGACCCGTTTTCTGAAACTGTGTTTGAAAAAGAACCCTGAGACACCGAGTCATCCCATGATGGCAAAGGCAAAAAGTTTACAGGAATGATCAGATTCCTATGAACTGTCCTAACCCGTCCTGTGACAGGATGACAGATAACATAAGTGTTCAGTTCACTGTTCTTATGAACCACAATGTGAACCGTGTCCTTCCAACGATCAGCCAATTTCTGTTTCCCCCGCTCCACCTTGTTAGCCATCAAAACTCTGTCTCCCTTCTCCAAAGAGTGTCCCTTAACCTTTCGGTTATACACCTCAGCTTGTCTCAACTGTTGCTTCTCGGCGTGCTGCTGAGCCAAAGTCATTGCTTCTCTGAGGTCCGTGCCCAATGACTGAACATACTTGTCCATGTCAGCAGTCTCGCCATCTAAGAGAACACTTCCAAACATCACATCAACAGGTTACCTAGGAGTTCGCCCGAACATTAAAAAGAAAGGCGGAAAACCTGTTGTTTTGTGTACCGTGCAATTATAGGCAAATGTCAGTGTGTTCAGCATCTGGGGCCATTTTTCCTTTGCCCGAGGAGGCAATGCACGGATCATGCTACCCAGAGTGTGGTTCAGACGTTCAGCCTGGCCATTTCCCGCAGGATGGGATGGGGTTGTATGGCTCTTAAGAACACCGGCCATCTGGAGTAGCTCGGCAATGAGAGAACTTTCGAAATTAGCCCCTCTGTCAGAGTAAATACAAGCTGGAAACCCATATATGGAAAAAAAATTATTCCATAACACACGAGCCACTGATTTGGCAGACTGATTTGGACATGGGTAAGCACATGCAAGCCTGGTAAAATGGTCTGTCACCACTAGAACGTCGATGGACTTGTTATTGACATCCTCTGCGGACCAGAAGTCAATACAAACTAATTCCAGTGGTGCTGATGTGACAACAGAAACAAGTGGAGCCCTGGCCTCAGGTTCAGGTGCTTTGCTCAAGACGCATCTCTTGCAATGGCTCACATATTCTTTGACATCATGTTCTATCGAGTCCCAGTAAAAGCGCTGTCTCGCAAGCCAGAGTGTGCGCTGCTGACCTTGATGGCCTGCACGATCATGCACCCCTTTCAACACCTGATCTCTCAAAGCAACTGGTACCACATATTGGAACACTTTCTTCTTGCTCACCACATGTTTAGAAACACGGTACAACACACCCAGCCGAGTCGTGAGTTTACCCCACTGTCGCAATGTACGGTTTGTCTCCCGCGATTCGTGAATGCGCTCACGTCGGGATGGTCGACTTCCCCTGTTCACATAAAAAGAAACCCGGCTGATCACAGAATCCTGGCACTGCTTATCATACAACTCCTCATGAGTAAGGACAGGCAGTGGGCTCTGCCCCACTGGCAAAAGTTCCTCCAGCTGTTGTGTGTAGCAGGTTGCCCTCATTTTTGCACCTTCACTCCAACAATGGTGAGACTTAAATAAGGCTGACACCTCATCATGAGAAACTCTTCCAGCATTGTCCTTAATGTCCCCACTGCCTGTGACAGAGCCCTGGATTGGAGAGGTAAGTTTAAGCTTCCCATCCACAGACTCTTCCTGAGAAAGGCGAAACATGTTCTGAACATCTTCCACCAACAAACCTCTGGCCTCTTCCAGCAAAGTGTCATATGGAGTCCTCGTCAAACGGTGCATCATCTTGTGCCTAGCAAATGGTTCCCTGCTCAATGCATCTGCCACAATGTTTCGTGGCCCTGGAATATACTGAATGTCAAAATCAAAGGGGGCCAGCTTGGCCACCCACCTCTGTTCGCAAGCATCCAGTTTCGGCTTGGTAAGAATGTACTTCAGAGGGTTGTTGTCAGTCCAAACAGTAAATTTGTGTCCACGCAGCCAATGACTAAACTTATCATGAATAGCCCATTTCATGGCGAGAAACTCAAGCCTATGAGCTGGGTATTTGGACTGTGCATGATTCAAGGACTTACTAGCAAAGGCAATGGGCCTCGCAATGTTGTGGCCATCTTGTACCTGTGACAGCACAGCTCCTAATCCGGAAGATGACGCATCAACCGAGAGCAGGAAAGGCCTTGTAAAGTCAGGGTGAGTAAGAAGAACCTGCTCCGTCAACAAAGCTTTCAAAGTCCTAAATGCTTCGCTACACTCCGGGGTCCAGTCAGCCGCAACAAGCTTACGTGACAGGGCTGGTTTCTTTCGGCCCTTTCCCCTCCGTGGCTTGGCAGTCCCTGTAGTCAGTTGGAATAATGGCTTGGCAATCACAGAGCAGTTCTCAATGTAGTGCTGATAATACACCACCATGCCAAGAAAAGAGCGAATCTTCTTAGAAGATGGCGTGGTACCGTCAAGTTCCATAAGATCTGCTTCTGACACACTTTTGATTGCCTGCACTTTATCAGGATCTGTTGCAATGCCGTCTCTCGTAACAATGTGACCCAAGAACTTGACCGACTTTCTCAAAAACTGACACTTGGACGGAGACAGCTTTAAGTTATGTTCTTTTAACCGCTGGAACACCATCTCAAGCCTCTGCAGGCTTTCCTCCTCAGACTTCCCGAAAACCAACAGATCGTCCAAGTAACAAAGAAGGCTTAAAAAGTTCTGGTCACCAAAGATCGTGAGCATCATTCGCATGAAAGTAG